ATACATATGGGTTTGTATATATGTATATATATATATATATATTTGGTGTTAACACAAATCATAGATTGTGAACGATACCAAAATGTTCAATAATAGTTAATGTAAGTAGTTCATTACCTCAGATATAAGCTGTTATCTAATATAGGTTTTTGGTTCATGATTCCAAAGTTTAATATTGCATACGTTTGTTAGTAAAATTTCATTCTCAAAATTGGAACAAAATATTTATATACGTAAAACACGTTCGTGTTCTAGAGAACGTTAGATACTGAGTATCAAGATGTCAAGTATAATTTTTTAAGAAGTATAACAGTCACAAGAGAGAGAAAGAGATTAAATTGTTTTATTTTGAAAAGTTCATTAAACTATCAGTAATTTGGGATATTTTTTATCTTAATTGGAAGCTTATGCTTTAATTTTCTATTGCACTTACTGTAATAAGATGCACTTATCTTCCAATTTTCATTGCACCTGCTATAGCAAGATGGACTTATGATCTAATTTTTATTGCACTTGTTAGAATGAGCTGGCCTTATACGTTAAAGCAGTCTTTCTCAACCTTTTCGACATCAGGGACCGGCTTGCTGCCTCCCTAAATGATCGTGAATTACTAAAATGCAATTATAACGAAAAAAACATTACGATTTACATATGAGTGTTCTGTCAGTTTTTGTTTGTTTATTTATCATGAATTTCTGCGGATCGATGGTTGAGAAACAATGCTATAGTGTGTGTTTATGTTTTCATGTTTGCATCAAGTTCTTCAGAAACCAATAATTTTAACGCAGTTTTCTGAACATCCTCTTGAGATTTACAATGAATAATTCATAGGAGAAAATACGACAGAAACTACATTCTGATGGTTACTTATATTATTGTTGTTTGTTTTAGAGCAAAACCTCATGGTGCTATCTGCTGTGTCCACCGTGAGGAATAGAATCCCGGATTTTAGCGTTGTAAATCCATAGCCTAACCGCTGTCTTACCAGAAGACAGTTGCGTTATGATAAAAGTTTCATGTAAATATTTCTTAAAAAGGAGAACAGATCTTAGTACAATTAATATAAGATTTGTTATTTATTTATTTGTTAATTTATTTTATTCTCGAAAAGGCGCACTTCAATGAAAAAAAAAACGCGAAGTAGAAACTTAATGTTTTCTGCGATTCGCTGTATTAGGCCTACTTTATTTATTTGCTTCATTCTCCCAAGCTGCACTAATGAGCTGTGAAATCGGCGAAACTAGTCTGTTGCAACGGGAGTAGCGAATATAATAATAGATTAGGCCTCTACGTCATCTTTTCTTCACTGAAATTCACGTTTTTGTTAGAGAAAGAATTAGCGAATACCTGACTTCGCTATGCATATCTTTCATAATGAATTCGTTAGACTATTTCTTGATTCCGTTCAAATGAACAAAGGACAAGAGGCAGATGAAATATCCCTTCATTTTTCAGTTTGTATATTAAAACATTCTTGAGTTTCTACCTTTTGAAGCATAAAAGCGTTCAGCCTTAAGAGAATGGGTCCAATTTACCCTGAGAGAGCCTAAGGCGCTCGCTCCGAACACCTTACTGATTTTTTTTACAGGATAAAAAGGTGTCGTTTTTGCCTAAAAAAGGAACCCCCTCCCACTTGCAAAATCCTGGATGCGGACTTGTCGATTGGCACTACAAACCACCAGTTATTGATATCATTTTTATTTAAT